GAGCGGGCCGGCTCGGACTCCACCCCATTCGCCCATGGCAACGGTTACCAGGAGACGGGAGGCGGTCACCACAGAGACGGGATGCTCTACCTGGGTTCCACCCGGGCCTCGCTGGCCGATGCGCTGCCTCTCCACCTGGGGCCGCGGTGGTTCGGCTCGCACAGCGGTGAGTTTCGGGGAACGTCCACCCGGAGGCCCAGGGTGAGTCCTGGGGGTGCGGGGTAGGGAACCGCCTCCCCGCATGGAAAGCTGGTGGGCAGCCCAGGAGGTCCTCTGGGAGGGGGCTGTGCGGGCCAGATCTCTCTGAAAAGATCCAAATGACGCAAGCTTCCGAACCCAACAGATCTCTGTGTTAGGCCAAGGTGATGGGATATAGCTGGGGGTGAAGGCAAGTAGGCCCAGCCGCTGGGCCGGATGGGATGGGCTTGAATTTTGAAGCCTGAGGGGCATTCGTGGCCCCATGCAGGACACCGGTTTCACAGGAGATGAAGCAATGGTGGCTCCTTTCATTGCAGATCCCAAGCCAAGCTGAGGGCCCTGCAGGCCTGCCCCCTGGCCCTCGGCCTTGCCTTGCCTCAGACGGGCCCTGTTGTAGGCTGAGAGTGGAGGAAAAGCAACCTAGGAGACTGGATTTCGACAACCGACTGGGTTAAAACCATCCTTGACCGCCCAACTGGTATGCTCAGCGGTTGAAGGACACAGCCTCCGCTGGGCAAGTGCTGTTTGTGATTTTGGCAACCTGTGAGGAAGGGAGCTAGCCGCGAGGGTGGTCCAGGGTTGCTCAGGATGTGATCAGATGGAGATAAAAGATGGCACCAGAAAAGGATGATTGGCAGGCAGCAGGCTTCCCTGACAATGACATTTTTCATCTGCTGCGGAATGGCTCCAGCTTGCTCTCCCCCCTATGTGGAAGCCCTAGAGCTGGGCCGAAAAAAGGGCCAGCTTGAACACAGATCAGGGTCCGTCTGGACCACATTTTCCCATGCATCATGTGATCACTGAGAAATTGATTACACTGAGTAGCTCTACAAGCATAGGTGATCATATCCTCATTTACCTGATTAGCTCCACCTTCTTGTACCCTGTTCCACCTGAAGCCACTGACTCTGCCCACCATGGGCTGCTGTGTCTTCTGCCAGCTCACAAAAAAAGCTTTAAAAAAAAAAAAGAGCCCCACGAAACTCAAATGGGAGAAACCTAAAGCTGTAGTAATAGATCAGTACTTTTTCTCAGTTGGAAGACCTGAAGCCGGATCATGTATCTTTTCTCATTTGGGGCTGGTCCAAAGTTTGCTGTCTGCGGTAGGGTCACAAATGACAGCCCATAGGGTGCGTTGTTGCCCCTACCAGCCGAGTTATTCTGGTGATCAGGGTAGAAGAATCTCTCGGGCACCCACCTGCATTTGGAACAGATGGGTTCATTTATTTGCAAGTTGAAATTTGCAGCCTGGGGCAGCTGCCTCTCTCTGCCTAATGGTAGGGTTGGTCCATGCCCCGCTCTTCAGTGGCGTCAGAATACAACGCCCAGTAATTAGCCAACAACGGTGCAGAAGGATCTGTCATGAAGCTATTCCAGCACTTGAGTTTCCCTGCAGGCCGCATTCTTCTCTAGAACTTACTTAGTTCTAGATGTTGACAGGGTTTGACCTTCTTTTCCCCCCTTGTTCAGAAGTGGTAAGGAAACATGAGCTCTGGATATGCCTTGAGTCACAATGGGGAGCAGGTGTTGGTTCTCATTCAGCCCCACTGGCCATGTGAGAGACAAGGAACATGGACTCCTTTCTCCTTTTTAGCTTGGAATGTGCCCATTCCAATTTATGAGATTTGTGGACCTCTTCTGTACACAGTGCCAGTTTACCTGTTGCTCTGGAAGGGGACCTTTGTGACTGGCACACAGGGCTTCTCCTTTTAGTTTTGTTCTCTCCTAGTGAGAAAAAGAGAGTTTACTTGTTTGGTCTGGAAAGTTTTTGGATGACAGGAAACCTGGTTGTTTCTGAGAAGGCTGGCTTGAAACCAGGCTGACAAGAAGCTGGGATTATCTGAGATGGAGAGGAGAGGACTTTGCAAACCAGGTCCTGGATCTGCTAAGTTTGAAAACAGCCCCACCCATGTTAGGGGGAGGTGCCTGCATGTCGTCAGGTTACCAACGTTTTTCCTTTGTTGTATTGCAAGGTGAAACAAAGATGAAACTGTGTTAGGGTTTCCAGATCTCATGCGGAAAATTAAACCAAAAAAATAAACAAACCTGAACTGGAAAATTGAGCAGCATTCCCCTGGTGCAGAAGTTCGCACCCAAGTTCTGGCAGGACATGGAGGGAGCTCATTGCCAGCTGATTATACTTTAGTCATTTATCTGGTACTTGCTTGATAGATTTAAAGCATTAATTAAACAAGGTGATATCAGCAAGTCAGGAGTCCAGTGGCATTTCCTCAACTCCCCTCCCTGGCTTTTTGAAACATCATAATAACTACATTTACATTTTCACCAAGGAACGGCGCAGACCCAGCAATGCTATCAATGGGGCAGCATGACGGCCATGGCACAAATATTAGATTTGTGATGAGTTCATGCTAATTTTTCTCCGGACTAGCTCGCAAAGACAAAGAATGCATTGTTTGGGATGTCACTGCCTGGGCTCAAGACGAGCGCATAGATCGTTGATGGCTGTGATGTCTCCTTTCTTCGATACCCTTTCTCAGAGGCTGGCTCTTGGGAGAGCAGAGGATAAATCTGTGCCTTTGGCATCCCAGTAATGAGCTTGATCTTCCATTGAATGCATCCCATATCGTGATGTTTCCCTGAGCTACTGGGGGGGGGGGTCTCACCTGGCTTGTTGTCTCTCTGTCCCAGCATTGGGGGTCTCCTGTTAATGTTAAGAATAACAATGCAATGAAGGGCGTAACGGATTCTGTGCTTAGAGGACCATTTTCTTCCACTGCACGGATGGACACGGCTGCTTATCTTAGTCCTCTGACAGAAGGTTCCCACTTCTTGCCTGCAGGGTTTTTTAAGAATGAAAAGCCGGAAAGCCCTTCCAAAAGCCTTCCCCGTTTCAATGATTTGCTTTCACTTTGGTGAGTTGGTTTGCCATAGAGCGGCTGGGCCTCAGTGGGGAGGACATTTTTGACTACTGTCCCCATCTGCCCCAGCTTGTCAGGTTGAGGAATGCTGGGTAACAAACAAGGTCCACCGCAGATTGTGGGAAGCCCATGCTACCGGAAGGTCATCTTGGAACGCGAGCCACTGCTTTTGCTTAATAACAGACCGGTGTTGCATAGCGACCGGAATAAACCTGTTTCTGCTCTTAGTCAAACAGAGGAGGTACTTAGAAGGGGTGAATTATGGCTAACCCCTAGCGTGGTTGCGTGTTTACATTCAGGACAAGATGCGTCCAGAGAGGAGGTCTTAGGCATGAGCTAACTCAAGGGTCAGGAGTTAGGAACAGCGTTCTCACATGCGATGGAAGCGTCCTTCATTGCTCCAATCCCCCCCAAGCACGGATGCTCTGCAGAAAGCAGCGGACGCCTGTGGCTTGATACTTTTTATGAGAAAGGAAGTGGGCAAACTCTTAGAAAAGCTGCAAGTTCGTTGTTACCTGGTCACAGGGAGCTTTTTCCCCCCTGGTGCCTGTAGTTTGTTGTGCTGCAGTTTCTTTGCTTTCCTTTAAAATGTCTGTGAGATGTATCGCTCTTCTTTCCTCTTCCAAGATGTTCCTTGTTGAAGCTGAGGGACCTGTGCTTAGGTTGAGTTCAAAGGGAAGACAGGTAGTTGATAAAGAGGCGCTGTCAACTCAGAGTGGCAGAGTGTAGCGTGACCTTCCGAACAACTTGCTCAGAATCCCACTTGAGCAGGAGGCAATGGTCTTGAGAAAAAAACAGTGGCGGTGGTATTTGAAGCAAGGTTTTCTTGCTCAGAATCCCACTTGAGCAGGAGGCGACGGTCTTGAGGGGAAAACGGCGGCTGGGATGTGAGTCTGGGAAATGGCTCTCACACCGTTTCCGTGCCACCAACGAAGACTGTGGCTGTGGTATCTGAAGCAAGGTTTTGGGAATAAAATGGCTGGGGGGGGGGCGGGAGTTGGCTGGACACATTTTGTAGGAATGGTTTTATCAGCTCATGGTATGAAGCCGCTAGAAGTTTCAGAAGGAGTGCAAGAAGTGGGTGTGACAGGAGACGTCCGTTGTCCATCCATGTGGCTCAGTGATCCAGGGGGTCCCTTCCTGCTCTGCCATCCAGAGATGATGATGACGATGAGCTTCAACAGCAGCCTGATTCAAAACATTCACCATATGGTTTCGGTGACCTCAGAGCATCGTGTTGAAAATGGGTGAATCTAAAGAAAAACCAGGCCAAAAGGAAGCTGAACTGGGCTCAAAGTCGCGTTGTTGATTTAGAACATCTTTTGACCAGTTTTTGGGTTTGTTCTCAGACAACTTTGAAAACCACAGCTGAAACCATGATGAGCCTTTGTGTATATAGTCTTTCCGCGCGTATGTGCGCGTAAAATCTATGACCATGTTTATCTGTACAGAAAGGAAATTTCTAATACCCTTGCCAATCCCTCCATAAGTCAATTACAATCGGAAAGGATCCTTATCATGAGTCAAAGCCAGCTGCTTCACCACATAATTTGCATAATTAAAAAGGAAGCAGAGTGGCCCTCAGGTCCTGCTTACGATCCCTTGGAGGCTTTTTTTAATGACAAATTAAGGAGGAACTGGCTCAAGGCAACCTTGGGACCTGCGTGGAGAAGGAACGTCAGCAGTCCACGCACGCCGCGCCTTGGAACTCCTCTTCAGGGATGGTCTGAAGTACGACCTTGCCTTGCAGAGTTCAAAGATCTGTCAGTGCTAGGTTAATTATGTAAATAATCATTAGAAACCATTATCACTGCTTCCATTGGCCAGTTTAAAAAAAAGAAGAAGAGGCACATTAAGCAAGCTTTATAATAATAATCTCAGAATGGCAGAGCTGGAAGAGACCAAGGAAGCCCCAGGGGGGAATTGAACTCCCAACCTCTGGCTCCACAGCTGGATGCCTTAAACCACTGAGCTATCCAGCAGTTCTTTATTATACTGTCTCAGCACCTATATTGTACAAGTATGAAAGTTACTCAGGCCCCTGCTGATTCCTGTAGGGTATCTCTCTGCATAAAATGTATGTTCA